CAAATTTTGAGCCTGGTGACTCTCCCGGGAAGTCACACCAAGAAGTTTACCCACAAAGATCCTGCCCTTAGCCCGTGGACACAGTATGAATTCAGGGGACTGGTGAGCACTCTTGACGGAGGCCTAAACAGCAGCACCTGGGTAGAAGTTACCAAGAGAGCCTGCAGGCGTGGTGGGATGCAGCCACTCGCCGTGTTCGCCCTGGGACCGGACTCAGTCCAGGTAAGATGCTGGCTGTTCTTTCTATAAACACAGGGATTTGCCCTAGATTCACTCTGTGTTGAACAGAGCCATCTACTGACAAGACAACCATATCTGTTGTTTTAGGCATTCGCTGCAGAAACTGGATTTTTGGACTTTGGCCCAAACTATCTTGAACTTGATGTCAGTTTTCGTTTTCTCCCCATGTCCCTTGGTCACATGGTGGAGGTGCCTCATTTGCCTGCACACCTGAAATACTTTGAATACCACCACGGGATGTTTAACTACAACATCAGACATAAACAGATCAGAAAATGAGAAGGGATGGGGAAATAACGGAGGGGTGGAGAAGCACTCTCCCAAATGAAAGTTCCAAACACTAATATTCTGGCATTTTTTTACGAATCAAATTAATGAAATGATGGGAAAAGAAATTAAGAAAGTAACATGTTGTTGGGATATTGAGAAAGCACTTAGTTACTTGCCTCATTCTTTGCGGATTGAGCTCCAGAGGAGGGAATAACTACCATTGTTTTGGCTGGCATACAGACTTCATTCAAGGGAAATTAGTGTAACCAAACAGGAGGGAGTTTTGTAGCTTAGCAGCCTCTTTTGTGTAAATACACACGTGCCTCCATGGTTTCGGCCCTTGTACCTCTGCCAAGAGCCTTGGTACAGTAACTTGCTCACCAGAGCACAAAGCAAAGGACATTTGCATAACAGCAAAGTTCATCTGTCAGAATTATTACTTGAATCTAGGCTGTGTGTGCTCTCTCTCCAACCAAAGGCAAACACTAGGTGATGGTAGGTATAAGTTGTTGAAGAAATATATTTTAATCTACAAACCAGAAGCTATCTTTATTACTGTTTTTAGTATTTGAAAATATCACACAAAAATAGTCCTTATCAGCTTGGATCTGAGGATCAGCAAAGCCACACGGTTCCTGTAGAATTAACTAAATCATATGGAATTCTGTTGCTTTAGTCCCAAAAGAAATCTAATTTTTAAGTACATCATACATATTTATTGTATGAAGTGATAATCTTAAGAACAGATCTTTACCCAAGTAAAAAACGAAAACAGAACAAAAACCCAGACAAACTTACAGTTATGAATCGTTCCAGGAATAGCTTTTCCTTTCAGCCCTAGGGGGAGTTTGTGGAACTTTGGAAGCGATCAGTGGGATGTGGCCTAAGGTACTCAGTCCCTTTGCAAGAGAAAGCCACACAGCAGACGTCATTCTGAGTCTTTCTGCCAAAACTCTTAAAACTAGGCACCGCTGATTTGCAGATGTGGGAAAAATGTAAATATTTTCAGAAAAATAATAGTTCAACACATGATTCTGCTTGCTTCAGTGTGCATAGACAAGGGTAAAGTGTTAAACAGGTTAGCCAACCCTTTCTCTATTTCTCCCTCTGAGGCCTTTGCAGTCCAGTAATGAGACAATACATGCGACATGTCAGATTGCTAGGAACATTTAGATTGGCTTAAACAAGAGAACTGAATCTCCTGGGTGATCAGCCCAGACCCACAGGATTGTGGAAACCCCAAATCAAGTGTCTAGGAGGGGCGTGAAATATGCTGGAATGGCTCACCACCAGCAACTTACAACTGCACATCTTTCATCAATTCACATTGTTTTAACTAAGAAATAAAATTTATCAGTGAAGGAAAATACAAGGAATATTCAACTAAATCTAATATTCTGTAGCATCTACTTAAATATTATTCAAATACCTTATTTTTAAGTTAGTAGCATCAGCTTACATTGCACTCAAAAAGATCTTAAAAACTTTACCAAAGAATGTTTTCTAGTGAAACAGCTTCTGACAAACAGAATATGTGACTAGGAAACAATGACTTCTCTTAGCAAAATACAAGATTTTAAAGTTGAAATTGCAAATGGATAAAATATTTATGTGGAATCAAAGAACAGTCATTAATGCACTGGTTAAAATCACTCAATATGTACTGTGTACTGTGCTCCAAGGATTAAGGTAAAAGAAATTGTAGGTTATATTGACAATGACAATATATTTCAGTTCTCATGTGTATTAGTTACTTTCTGTTGCTATGATAAAGCACTATGACCAAGGCAAATTATAAAAGGAAGAGATTACTTGAGACACAGTGACAGAGGCAACCAGAGCAGGAAGCTGAGCGTTCATATCTTCAGGTGCACACAGGAAGCAGAGAGGACCTGCCGGAAGTGGGACGGGGCTATGAACTCTCAAAGCCCACCACAGTAGCATGCTTCCTTTGTCAAGGCCACACCACCTAGTGTTCCATGACAGTCCCAAACAGTACCACCAACTGGGGACCATATATCAAGTGTTCAAATACTTGAGCCTATGGGGAACATTTCCCATTCAAACCAACACATTACGTCTATCGAACACATTTTTATCAGTACCTCCTTTAGACACTGGAGAAAGAAGGTACACATCAACACAGAGTCCCAGGCTTGAGTAGCTTGCATTACCAACACAACTCAAACATAAATATATAAGATATCCAGAAGTCTTAGAAGGAGAGAGAGGAATCAAATTAAGAATAAATGGGCTGGGGCTGGAGAGATGGCTCAGTGGTTAAGAGCACTGATTGCTCTTGCAGATGACCCAGGTATGATTCCCAGCACCCACATGGCAGCTACGAACCATCCTTAACTCCAGTTCCAGGAAACCCAGCACCCTCTTCTGGCCTCCTTAGGCACTGCACAACACCAGTGCACTCCGTGTACTATGCATGTACACAATATGCTCATACACGCAAAATAAAAATAAAATATTTTTTAAAAAGAATAAATGGCCAATGTGAACCAATGGGGTTCGATCGTGAAAGCAGTTCAGCTGATATTTCACCAGCCTTCAATCATGCTTTGTTGCTAATAGCACAGTAGGACAGACTAGGTAAGGCTTAAAGAAAAGAGTTTTGCTTGGGTTACTGGTGCGGAACTCCAAGCTTGAAGGACTGCATCTAGCAACGTGCTTCTTACTGATCCATCCCAAGGCAATGCAGAGCACCACAGAGGAAAGAGGAAACCTGTGAATGCATCATTTCTCTTCTGGTCTCTCTCTCCCTCTTAAAGCCACGGGCATTCACCAGTGGAGACTCTGCCTCATAACCTTATCTAGTCCTGACCAAGTCGCTACCTCTAAACACCATAGTCAGATTAGATATTTTCCTGTTCATACTTCACATGGGTATGAGATTTGAAAATGAGTTTGGGAAGGGAACAACCTATATTCAAGCCCCAGTATATCCCCCTAGTTCTTTCCATTGTTGGATAGAGTATTCTTTACACTAAACATCTTCAAAAGTTAGTGTCCAAGAAGGAAAACTAAAGAAACTATACCAGTGTGGGCCAACCAGAAAACAAATCCAAAGTAATGGATCAGTGAGTATAAGAAGAGGTGCTACACAGGCCAGGCCCAAAGGAGACTTATATGTGAAGGTCCCAAATTCAAGCTCTGCCCAAGACCAACCTGAACAACTTAGTGAAACCCCATCTCAAGGCAAGGATGGAGCCAGGAAGTGGGCCCAAGTGGAGAAGGCCAGCTGGGCTATGTAGTGAGACTGTGCCCCCCCCATGAGAAAAAGAAATAAAATGTAGAAATAATCAATTTGTATTAGCTCTGCGACAGTAACAAACTCCTTTATTGTGCTGCCCCAGGCCTCAAACTTTGAGCCCTGTCCCCTTTCTTCAGTGAAACCCAAATAAAAGAAACCAGGGGAACATCGGTTCTCAGCTCCTCCCCATTGGAACTGTCCTCAGCACCAACAACAGCAGGCTTGGTTTTCTGTGTGAGCGGGAGGATCAATAGTGTCACCCATTTGACATCTCACCTGGCTTTCCTCTGCTGTGTGCACACCTGCTGTTCAGTTACAGGTCTGGTAATAGACCAAAGAAAGGAGCTCTGTCTAAATCCTCATCCTGGCCAGTCTTTAAAGATGGGCTAATCTTTGATTTCCACTTAAATCAAACTATCATCAATATCTCAGAGAAGAAAGAAAAATACAGCAGCAATTCATATTCATTGAGCTCTTGCTATGCTGCAGGAACAGCTTATTCCTGAGCACTTCCCTGGCAGAGACCCTGGATCCCCATTCTGCAGGTGGACTCCTTGAAAGCTGAAGGGGAACCAGCCTGGAGGGCGTGAGGAGTGCAATTCACACCCAAGCAGGATCTTCTTGCACCCGCACACCACCCCACCCAATCCACACTGTGACAAGAGCAGATGTTGCCACCTTCCTGGGCGGGAGGCTTAATGCATGACAAGACTGCCCTTCCAGAGTAAACATGTAGCCCTTCCATCATTCAACTCGCAAAGCCTAGTATGTCTTCATTCAAACTGCATAAAATGATTTTAAAGTCAAATTAGAAGATTAAGTGGTTGGATATATTCTACAAAATTATAACAAGATGATGTTTAGTGCATGAACTTTAAAGCCATGTGTTATACAGTGGGGGCATAAACACAGAGAAATGGCCACTGGACAGACTAGAAAACTTACACAAAGGTACATCTGCACACTGGGCTTCCAGTAGTAGTGGCTTTTGGCTTCACTGGGAGAGGTCTGTTTTATTAATGTTACTGGTGTAAGTGGCTAGCCATGTGTACAAAAAAGATCACACCATTATATCATAATTAAACTCCAGCAAATTCAATGTTAAAAATAGGAAGCTTAGGCATTCCTCTAGATATGCTGACTAGATTCACCAGACGGACAAGTAGTGGGGAATGGCTGGGGGTGCCGACAACACAGCAGATAGTAGTAGGGTTATCAGAGTATAAGG